TTTCACATATTCAATAGACACCTGTGGCAAGTGGCTTCCATATTGGTAATGTAGCCAGAGAATATTTCCATTTTTACACATGGAAGAACAGGCATGCTAGCACTTGGGAAGTGAAGGTAGGAAGACGGCCAGTTTGAGGATAGCCTGGGCTATACTGTCAGACTCTGTTTCAAAATAAAATAAAATAAAATAAAATAAAATGAACTTTAGTTGGGGGCTGTGGAGATGGTTCAGTAGGTAAAAGTCTTGAAACCATGAGCCAATAAACCTTAGGAGCAGTGTTTGGATGCTCAGAAAAGCTGGGTGGATGTGGTGGCCCCGCCCAGCTGTCATCCTATCCCTGGAGACATTGACTGGATTGACTGGAAATCTTCAAAGCAAGCTCCAGATTTAACAGGAGATCCTGCCTCAGTGTATAAGGTGGAGAGTGATGGAGGTATATTTCAGTGTTAACCTCTGCTTATACACACATACACACACACACACACACACACACACGCACACCACAAACTGTAAATTACTTTGCATGAATGTTTTTGGACTGAGCGTATGGAAGCAGAATGAGATGGAGGCAAAAGAATTTCCCTTGTCCTTGTAAATTGTGAATGGGAGCAGATGTAACAATTAGGTTTAGAGAAATGGATACTATGTCTCAAGTCTCCAGTGCCTTTGGATGATAAAAATCAGATGTGATATTTCACTTTCAGTTTTTTGGAAGTTTTGTCCAAAAAAAAAAAAAAGATTGTAACTGAGCAAGCTGGAAAAAATAATAGTTGTAGCTAATCAGGCATCTTTTGGGAGAATGCATCCACAGACAGACAATTGCTAGGTCTAGAAGCCAGTTGTTTTGGAATATGGTTTTAAAAGATGTCAGGTAGCTTTAATAGGTTGTTTACCTAACCTTTCCTATTCTTGCTCTTCTTTTCTCACCTGCTCCTCCTCCTTCTGTTTATTTACTTATTCATGTACTTATTCGTTTATTATTTTTGAGTTTACAAAAGCATAATGTAAAAACTACAGGAAAATGACACAAAACTATTTTTCCAATGAAAAGAAAACCTTTGCATTTATATGTGCTCTGAACTACAATAACTTAAAAAGGTGACGATTTAATTAGAAAAAAAAAAACCCGCTAAGAAGTAAAATCTATTGGAATCTCACATTGTCTCTGTGCGCTCCTGCAGTTAAAATCCGTGTCATTATTTCCATTATGCTTACCTCCTAATTTCCAGGGCTTATTAGCTGGGTTGTAAAAACTTGCTCCAGTTGAAGTTTGGCAAGCTGACAAGGCTGAGTGCCAGAAGTAATTTACTATCCAGTGCAGTTTGTAGGGCAAAGGGAGCGGTAAATAATAGAAAAAGAAATGAAAAGTTACTGGTTCCAAATATTTTAATGCGTGTAACGGATGTCACCCAAGACTCGGATGCTTTTGTTTTTCCACAGAGCTAGATAACACTGAAAAGGTGCAGATGTCCCACTATGGAATCAACCGGAGGGCTCTGGAGTTCTTAGGCATCAAAGACCCTTCTGTGTCTATCACTTATGCCTGACTTTGAAGTCCTTTGGGGCTCTCTGTGTGGAAGAAACAGGCACTCGGACTTTGAACAACGTAGGGGGATGGGATTCTAGGTGCTTTGCCTCTCATTGTGTCTGAAATTAGTATTTTTTTCTTTTTCAAATAATGACGGGGGAGCGTGGAGGCTAGCATTTCTTTCTTTGCTATTTTGAGCCACTGAGCACTCTATGAACTTTGTCTTCAGATGTACAACTTAACCATCCCAAGGAAAAGTTCAAGTTTACTTTCAAGTTTGCATCCAAGTGCATTAAAGTAGCCATTTTAGCTTCTGGTTAGTGTCCCTATGGTGGGCTCCTTGTGAGATTATCTCAGGACCTTAACAGAAAGCTGTTTGCTCATCAGCATCATGGGGACCAACTGTTCCTTGTAGGTCGTGGGTGATCAGAATCCATCTTTCTGGCATCTCTCTTGGTAATTGGGACAGAGATCATGAAAATCTATATTAAAATAACCACTTGACTTGGGAGCTGGTTCTGTGGGCAAAGTGCTCACCACACAAGTATGAGCATCTGAGCTTGAATCGGAAACTGGAATGCCTAGAATTCACGTAAAGCACTGCCCACCTGTCACCTAGGTTCTACAGAAGTGGAGACAGGAAAATCCCTGGAAACTCAAGGGCCAGGTAGCTTGTTTCAGGCATCAATTGAAAGAAAGTGGAAGGCAGGGCCCAGCCCCGGAAGTTGTCCCACGGGCCCAGCCCCGGAAGTTGTCCCACAGCTCCATACACTCATACAAACACATCATTCACACAAATATACATCATACACATGAACACATCTCATACACACAAATGCACAGCATACACACAACAGATTAAAACAAGCAAAACAGCTACTTAAAAAGCCAAGCACATGGGAGCTGGAGAGATGGCTCGGTGTGGTTCAGAGCAGTTGCTGCTCCTGCAGAGGACTTCCCACCGGGTGACTCACCACCGTCTGTAACTCTAGTCCTAGGGTGTCTGCCATCTTCTGACTTCCTCGGGCATCAGACACATAAGTGCTGCACATACATAGATGTATGCAAAATATTCATATACATAAAAAAACAAACAAACCAACAAACAAAAACCAAGCAGAGTGGCCGGCCCATAGTCCCAGCACTTGGGAGATACTGGCAGAAGGATCAGGAGTTCAAAGTTACTCTTGGGGTATATTAGCAAGTTATATGAAACACAATGCAAAATTCATGTAAATGTTTTAGAGAAGGATGATAATTTTTCCTTTTCTTTTTCTCTTCTTTTTTTTTCGGGGGGGGGGCTGTTTCTGAGGACTAAGCTCAGGACTGTCTGCGTTCTATCTCTAGCCTACTGAACTAGATGCCCCTCCCAACCGTTAGTAGGTGCTTTCAACCTTCTTAGGTTGATAATAATAATAATGATGATAATAATGATAATAAATAGAGTTGTGTGTAATATTGCAGACCTTTAATCCCAGCACTGGCGAGGCAGAGGTAGATGGATCTCTGAATTGGAGGCCAGCCTAGTCTACAGAGAGAGTTCCAAGACAGCCTGGGATGCATATAGAGTCACTATCTCAAAAACCCAACCCAACCCAACCCAACCCAACCCAACCCAACCCAACCCAACCCAACCCAACCCAACCAACCAGCCAACTAACCAACCAACCAACCAACCAACCAACCAAAAAGGCCACCTGCCTCTGCCTCCCAAATGCTGGGATTAAAAGTGTTCACCACCAGGGCCAGCTAAATGAATAAAACATTGGGCTGGAGAGATGGCTCAGCCTTTAAAAGCTAAGCTCACAACCAAAAATAAATAAAACATTCATGTAATGTGATTAGGTGGATTGACACATAAAGGTCTCAGCCATGCTCAGAGTACTGGGCACATAGTGAGACAGCTGTTATTATGACAGGCTGAGGTGGCGAAAAGGTGATTTTTGCTGTTTTTATTATATAATTCTTAGGGCAAGACAAATATAATAGCTAAATATCAAAGTGACGGTGGAAAGCATAGTTGATTTAAGAATTGTAGTTAGCTCATTACTCTCTGTCAAATTTGCCTCAAAATGAAGGATTACAATCTGTCAGGGTTTGTTGATTTCCTTGTACTTAAAGAAATGTTGTAAATGCCTACATTAGCACATTTATTTGTTGATCTTTTATTACAAGCTAGGGATTTCTCTACCCTTCAGTGTTGGGGGCTTCTTGTACATACTGAACTTGCTATTCACAGTCATCTCCATTCTGGCTAATAACAAGTCTTGCTTTACTATTACAAAGAAATTGCATTTTAAATTTTCATACATGATTTCCCTCCACTTCTCGGATCTTAGACTCGAAAGGGCTGAGAAGTGATGAAGCCAACTTCAACTCTGTGACAGTTCTGAGACAAGATGTGAAACAGAAACGAAAGGAAAGCAAGGAACTGGGTGGATCTGGGTAACTGAAGTCTAGTTCCCTCTCATAAATCACGACGTAGAAGACCAAGGTAATGATGTGAGTGTTCTAACAACAGGTCTAGCAAGAAGCCCTGCTTTGGCTTTTTATCTTCCAGGATTTAACAGAGAAAGGGAACCACAGATTTTTTTAGGTTGTAGTAATTATACAGCAATATCTCTTCCAAGGTGGGTTACAGGATGGTTCTCTTAGAAAGTTAATTTGCCAGGACTATGTTGTAAGGAAGATCTGTGTAAATATTGATTTATTTTACCAAGACTTTGAAACTTTTCACTATCAAAGTCCTGTTTTCTAAAACGAATGACAGTTTCTGCCTAATATTTTGAAATATTTTATCTACATAAGTCAAGATATTTATTTTTAATTTTAAAATCGTGTGTGTATTCACGTGGGCGCACGCGCCACAGAACACATGCTAAGATCAGAGGATAATTTGCGGGAGTCAATTCTCTCCTTCTACCGAACTTAGGTTGCCAGGCTTGGTAGCACGATGGCCCTAATTATTTAATAAATTATTTTTCACCATTTTAAAATGAACCAGCCATTCAGAGGCTTCCATTGGCATGTGAAAATGTACTGTTACCACCCTGGTTTCGTGAAGCTAGCCGACAGCTAAGACCGGGGCAGCTGGTCAGCAGACTTGGAGCCTTATTGAATTTGCATAATTAACAATATCATTTTCAGTTACATTTTTTAGCTTTTAGTGTTCTCGGTGACGGGAAGCGAGAACCTGCGATAGGAGCATGACAAAACAGATGACTTTCAGTAGGAAGCGTACTTCAGGCTCTTTCAGGTATAACCCGAGGAGCTTTTTCCGGTCTCTGTGGCGCGAGGGTTTAGTCCCTCCTCCAGCCCCGCCCCTCGCAAAAGTTGTGTCCCAAACCGGAAGGGGTTCTCACTGCAATCCTATAGTAAGCCACAGGGAGGCGACAGCGGCTTCGAAAGAAAAGAGGACCGTCCCAATGGCGGAAGCGGAAAAGGCGGGACTTACGAAGCACGTTCAGTCAATCACTAAGAGTGCTCCTGGAGGCTTTTTGGTAGACGCTCTCTACGCGTGTTGTCTGCCCGGCTGCTTGTGAAGTTCCAGCCTCATGGCGGAGATAATTCAGGAACGCATAGAAGATCGAATCCCGGAGTTGGAACAGCTGGAGCGCATCGGACTCTTCAGCCACGCGGAGATTAAGTGAGAGATGATCAGGGAAGAGGAAGGACTGGGGCGGGCTGAGGAGAGCTTGAGGCGAGTGTGTGGCAGGGACAGGCGTGCTGACTTTTCTGAGCTTGTTTTTAACTACCATGCTAGAAGAGGGAAAAGCCCGTTGCTGGAATCATCAGTCTGTTTACCCATCAGTCATACTGACAGTCATCCAATGGTCAGGGTCTTGGGGTCGTATAGGTGATATAGCCAGGATTCTTGCCTACCAAAGACTACTGGGCAATGTGAATGGCGGAAGAATTCAGATTAAGAAAAGGTTATAGTTTAAAAGTTTGGGGTATACAACTTTAGATATTCGAGTACAGCGTCATGGAAGCTCAGGAGGTCTTCCTAACTAAACTTGTAGACTGGAGACCATTTAATTCATTTCATATGCTTCTTGAGAGTCCTGACACAGCACTCAGAATATAGTTGGCATTCGGTAACTTGGTAAAATCAATTACTTTTAGTGATTTTCTGTGACAATTCACTTTACCATGACTCTAGATGAAAGTGCAGTAATGTGAGTGTAGGGTAAGCAAAGTAAACGTTAGGAAACACAGAAACCCTTAGAAAGTGCTAAATGTAGCCTGGAGTCGGGCACCAGCCTGCAATTCCAGGACTCAGGAGGCAGAGGTAGGCGGATCCCAGTGAGTGCTAGGCCAGTCTAGTCGACAAATCGAGTTTCAGGACAGCTAGGGCTACACCGAGAAACCCTGTCTGGAAAACAAGGGTGGTGGTGTTAAATGTGTTACCATTCTTAAATATCGTCTTGCATATTCTGCCTTTAGTTTTCCTAGAACACATGTATGCTCACTCTTTTGTAGTAATATTTTGATAGAGACAATTTAGGTTTTAAGAACTTACATACTGAAAATATAGAGACCCAAGATTTTAGGGTAGAGATTTGGTTAACATAGAAACAAGTATTGGGGCTAAGAGCATTGCAGAGTGCTTGCTTAGCATGCCAAGGCCTTAGGTTTGATTCTAGGGAATGTATACACACACACCAAGACAAGCTCCTAAATAGCCGAAATTTGGGGGAGAAATCTTTGTTAGTAGTATGTATAAATAATAAAAAGCATTAGACGTTATTTACTTTGCTGGTGGGAATAACAATGATCCTGGCAACTGAGGTGATTTCCCTGAAAGTTAAAAACTGTATGTGGATGTTCTTAACCGCACAGAGGTCATTGTGTAAGAGAATACATATTTTGCCTGTAGAAGATGACTGTGTTCAGGAACTAGATGTTTCTGTTAGATGTGTGTTTTCCATATATCCTGAATAAAAATCTTAAGTTCACATTTAACTTCTCAAATGTTATGGTGTAATTGGCTTTCTCTGCAGGGCTATCATCAAGAAGGCTTCTAACCTAGAATACAAAATACATCGGAGAACCCTTCTCAAGGAAGACTTTATCAACTATGTTCAAGTGAGTGAGTCTATAGCTTTTTAGCCCTTTCAAGAATTTTAAATCAGACAGTGGTGAGCTTCACAGCAGTTTTCTACAGAATTCCAGAATTCTATGATTGTGCACACGTGTTTTAATTAGGATCAGAGATGTCTGTGTGGAGTGGCATTACCCTATAAGCCTTGGGCCTTGTCGGAGTGAACTTTTTTCTCCTGTTGGGTCGGTAGATCAGTGGCATTGTTGTGTATCAGGGTTTTAGCAGGAAACTTGCCTCTGAAAGTGGGCCTGCTGGAGGAGTGGGGGTTTGACCACAGCAGGCGGTTGGAAGGTCTGTAGCGTGCTTAGCACTGTCAGCCTGCAAAAGAGGTTTGCTTTAAGATTCTTCCATCTTCCAAACGGGCCAGAGATTGATGTTGAGATTAAACATATAGGATGAATGGTCAAAGGAGGGAGAATGGCTACTGTGTACATATTCAGAACCAGAAAGACAGAAAAAAAATTGGTTTGTGTGTGTATCATGTGGTGTGCAGTATCCACAGAGGCCCCAAGAGGGTGTTGGCTCTGCAACTATAGTTACAGATGCTTGTGAACATGGTTCTAGGAACTGAACTCTGATCTTTTGGAATAACAGCCACTGAGCCGTTGCTTTAGCCTCTAGAAAGGTAAAATGTTAGTAATAATTAAAAAACCATGATGCTGCATGCCTTTAATCCTAACACTCAATGAGGCTGAGGCAGAAGGAACTCGAGTTTGAGATTAGCCTGGACACAGTGAGACTTGTCTTAAACAAAACAAAATAAAACAAAAAAAACATAAACAAAAACAAAAGACTTAAAGCGTTGCTGGGTCTGATGGCTTGCACTTGGAGTCTGAGGCAGGAGAATTTTAGGTTTAAGGTCTACATGGTTTTCACAGCAGTACTCCTGTCTCTGAGAAGAGGATAGGTCAGATGAGATGGCTTAGCCAGTATATGGATTGCCACACATTCCTGACAACTTGAGTTTGATCCTTAAAACCCACACTAAAAGTAAAAATCTGGGGCAGGCATGGTGGCACAGACCTTTAGATACACTACTCAGGTAGAGATAGACAGATTTTTGTGAGTCAAAGCCAGCCTGGTTTATGTTGAGAGTTACAGGCAAGCCAGGGCTTCACAGTAGACCCCATCTCAAAGAAAAAAAAAAGCTGGATGCAGTGATGAATGCCTGTAATCTCAGCACTCCTGTGGGGCCAGAAAAACTTGAAGAGGATGGGCGGTGGGTAGCCTGGAGTACGCAGCATGGCAAAAAAGGAGAGACCCTGCCTTCACAAGGTGGATAGAGAGAACTGACTCCTGAAAGTTGTCTTCTGACCTTCATAGATGCTCTGGCACATGCATACCCCACCCACAAAATAATAAATAAAACCGAATGATGTATGAAAGTTGCATAAGAATATATATGTATTTGTATATTATATATTTACATGTAATATATGTTACATATAATATATATTAGTACTGTATTATACATATACATACATATGTGTATATATGTATATGTGCATATGTATATGAATATGAATGAAGAGGGCCTAGCTCAAAAATCAAATCTAAACTAAGAGTGATGATGAAGACAACTGCAGAGACGGTGCAGACTGTGGGCTTTGAGGTGACATTGATTTGAAAATACATGATTTGTACCAGTTGACATCTGTAGCACTGTGTACCAGTTCACATCTGTAGCACTGTGTTAGGCTTTGGGTTTCTTCTCTTTCTTCCTTTCTTCCTTCTTTTCTTTCTCTCTTTCTTTCTTTCTTTCTTTCTTTCTTTCTTTCTTTCTTTCTTTCTCTCTCTCTTTCTTTCTCTCTCTCTCTCTCTCTCTTTTTCATCTTTCTTTCTTTCTTTCATTCATTTTTTTTTAAAAGATTTATTTCATTTATGAGAATACACTGTAGCTGTCTTCTGACACACCAGAAGAGGGCATTGGATCCTATTACAGATGGTTGTGAGCCACCATGTGGTTGCTGGGAGTTGAACTCAGGACCTCTGGAAGAGCAGTCAGTGCTTTTAACCTCTGAACGATCTCCCTAGCTCTGGGTTTCTTTTTTTTTAAGGTTTATTTGCTTTTATTTTATGTGTATGAATTGTTTTGCCTGCATGCATGTCTGCACCACTTGTGTGTGGTGCCTAAGAAGGTCAAAAGGAATCAGGTGTTGGATACCCTGAGCCGGGAGTTACAGATGGCTGTTAGCTGGGTGGTGGGAACAGAAGCCAGGCCCTCTACAGGTCTCCCTCTGTAGGCTTCATTAGTCTGTGCAGCAGGTAGATTCTCCTGCCTTTGCCTCCCTGTGCCTGTGCCACACCGCCTCCAGCCTCTGGTTCCCTTCGGTTTTCACAGGACTTTGAGGGGTGCTTGGAAGGCAACAGTGTAGAAACCATGGTGTAAAAGGAGTCAGTAGAACTAGAGGTGGTGGACTTTAGAGAAGGAGATATGATTTCCCTTCTCCCGGTTGGAAGAACCACCTATAATTATTACATTAAAAACTCACAGACACATAGCATTTGGGTGGCAGAGACAAGTGGGTTTCTGTTGAGTTTGATGGCAGTCTTGTCTAAATTGTGACTTTCAGAACAGCCAGGGATACGTCATGAGACCCTGTCTCAAAACATGCCCACAAACAGCCTAACATGTGCACCTGCGTATTTGCACTCAATTTTATTAACTTGCTATGACACAAATGACATTTAATTTAAAATTTTTTTTTTCTGTGGGTGTAAATCAGACCTAGGGCCTCATGTAAGCCAGGTAAGTGCTCTACCACTAAAGGTTACCTCCTTAGCTCTTGATTTTAATTTTTATTTATTTAATTTTTGTTTGTTATTTTTTCTTTTTTTCCAGAGCTGAGGACTAAACCCAGGGCCTTGCGCTTGCTAGGCAAGCGCCCTACCACTGAGCTAAATCCCCAACCCGTATTATTTTGTTTTTCAAGATAGTGTTTTTCTGTGTAACCCTGGCTGTCCTGGAACTGTCTCTAGTCCAGGCTGGCCTTAAATTCTGATATCTGCCCATCTCCCGAGTGCTGGCTGAATTAAAGGTGTGTGCTACCACCATCTGGCTCTAATTTAAAAATTTTTATTTTTATGTGTATTTATTTAGGTGGGTTATGGGCACATGCCATGGTATGCATGTGGAAGTCAGAAGACATCTTGTGGGCTTCAGTTCTACCATGTGATTAAGTTTAGGTATGCCAGTAAGAGCCGTTACCCGCTGACCCATCTTTTCTTTTTTTTTTTTTTTTTTTTGTTTGTTTTGCTTTGTTTTGTTTTCTATACAGGGTTTCTCGTGTAGCCCTGGCTGTCCTGGAACTCACTCTGTAGACCAGGCTGGCCTCGAACTCAGAAATCTGCCTGCCTCTGCCTCCCAAGTGCTGGGATTAAGCTGACCCATCTTGATGTCCCTCTAACCCATGTTTTTTGAGACAGGATCTCACCGTGTAGCACAGGCTGGCTTTGTACCATTCACATATCTTATGTTCCTGAGTTTTAGGATAGCGCATGTGTCATGGGGCTGGAGAGATGGTTCAGTGGTTAAGAGCTCTTGCTGCTCGTCCATAGAACCTAGGTTTGATTCCCAGTCATATGGTGGCTTGCAGCTGTCTGTAACCCTAGTTCCATGGGGGATCTGATGCCGTTTTCTGGCCTTTGGATACTGCTCTTAAATGGTGCACTGACATATGCGGGCAAAGCACCCATACACTTAAAAACCAAAGGAGAACAAAAGGGTGTTCACCATGTTGGGTGGGGCCTATGCTTTTCTTTCTTTCTTGGCTTTTTGAGTAGGGTTTCTATGTATAGTCATGGCTATTCAGGAACTAGTTCTGTAGACCAGGCTAGCCTAGAACTCACAGAGATTCATTCACCTGCTTCTGCCTCCTGAGTGTTGAGATTAAAGGTGTGCACTACCACTCCTGGCTGTACTTTTATTTCTAATATTTGTTTGCAAAGTGGAAGCTTTGATATAGCTGTATGGGAAGCTATATGGATTTTCCAGGCTTGGGATGTCTCACTAGCCAACTTTTTGTCTTCTCTTTTTCTTCAGTAATTATAGTTGGATCGGACCTTTGTGTATGTGCTCTACAAAATAGGTTTTTATGCCTGGCAGTGGTGGCGCACGCCTTTAATCTCAGCACTTGGGAGGCAGAGGCAGGCGGATTTCTGAGTTCAAAATCTACAGAGTGAGAGTTCCAGGACAGCCAGGGCTACACAGGAACCCTGTCTTGAAAAACAACAACAACAAAAAAAATAGATTTTTACTATTTTGCGTTTTCGAAGAGCTGGGAATTTAACTTGATATTGTGCTTCTGGAGCTGGAGCTAGCAGAGTTGGCAGAGTGCTTGCCTAGTATGTATGGAGCCTGGGTTTCATTCCCAGCACTGCTGGGGTGGCACACTGTAACTCCAGCACTCCTGTAATCCTGGTACTTGGGGGAAGGAGATTCTTGGGGGTTTTTTTTCATTAATTTATTTATGTATTTGGAAGGAGAATCTTATTCATGTTCATTCTTGGTTACATAGCAAGCTTCGAGTCAGCTTAGGCTACATGAAGCTTTATCTCAAAAAACTAGAGAAGAAAAAATGTAAAAGAAAAAAAAGCAATCCCTGCTTCCGTTTTCCTAGATCTGGGATTATAGGCATTTATTGCTTTGCCTGGAGGTGTTGGGGCTCTTGTGCACGCTAGGCAAATCTGACTGTGTTGTCCTGGCTGGTTGGCCTGGAAGTCCCTATGTAGACCAGACTTGAACTCACAGAGGTCCACCTGTCTGCTTCTGGAGTGCTGAGAGTACTGGAGTGTGCTATCACGCCGGAAGTGTTGTACCTCTTGACATAATTTCCGAGCACCTTGAACTCTCAACCCTCCTCCAGCCTTAGCCTCTGAGGTGTAGACATGTGCCACAATGCCTTAGATTTTTTTTTTTTTAATTTTTAAACTGAAAATTAGAACATGCTGCTTTAAGTAGGAAGTTGGATTAATATTATGAATCTTACAAGTCTCATGCTGTTAAGTAATGTGTTGTCTTTGCCTGCCTCTTAGCTGCCTACAAGACTTGAAGATACAGTATAAATTTTTCCTGTTTTATTGGAAATGTTCCTCATATTTTAATGTAAATAAAGCATTCCTTTTTTTTTTTTTTTTTTGGTTTTTTGAGACAGGGTTTCTCTGTATAGCCCGGGGTGTCCTGGAACTCACTCTGTAGACCAGGCTGGCTTCGAACTCAGAAATCCGCCTGCGTCTGCCTCCCAAGTGCTGGGATTAAAGGTGTGTGCCACCACTGCCCGGCAATAAAGCATTCTTAATGCAACTACCAAAAAAGAATATACTGTTACTATACATACATACATATATATGTTTATAAGTTTTATGGAACTAAGATGAATTTTCAGGGAATTCCAGAGAGTTATTGTGAATTCTCGCTATTGTACAAATTGTCTTTTATTTTAAGTTGTTGATTTTTTTATACATTTCCTGTATTTAAAAGGTTAATGCTTTTCATGTTTCTCTTTGTAATCTCTCCCTTCCCCATAGTATGAAATCAATCTTTTGGAGCTGATCCAGAGAAGACGAGCAGTAAGTTAATGCTTAATTTTTTTTTTTTTTTAAGTTTGTTTTCTATTGGGAAACACTGATAATAGATAGCCAGCGCTCTACTTTCCAGTCTCTGATTTTTTTTTTTTGTCGGTACTGAGAGTGAGCATGTGTGAATGCTACTCTGGATAAGTGTGACTAATTAACTGGGGCTTTGTTTTTGTCCCCTTTAGAGAATTAAATATTCATTTAAGAAGGATGAAATTGAATATTCTATTGTACATCGGGTACAAGGTATCTTTGGCCGTGCTTCAGCGAAGTGGAAAGTAAGTGATTAGTGTGTACTCGGAGAGACACGATGACGTACAGTGTATGTATTTGGAGTTGGATGTTTGACTGTTTAAATGCCACATCCTCTCTGTTCCAGTTCTCAGTTCTCACTTCCGTGATGACATCATTGCTTGAGACAGGTTTAGAGCCGTTAAGAAGGCTCATCTCATCACTTTACTACTCTGTGAGGATGACACTAAGCACTGTGTTTAATACATTATTAGGGTTAGAAAAAATTAAAAGAAAGCTGGGCATGGTGATGCAAACTTTGAATTCTGGCACTCAGGAGGCAGAGGCAGGTGGATCTCTTGAGTTCGAGACCAGCCTGATCTACACAGTGAGTTCTAGGACAGCCTGAGCTACACAGAGAAACCCTGTCTCAGATAAAACCAAAAAGGGGCGGGGGCTTACCTAGCATGCCTAAATCCCTGGGTTCAGTCCCCAGCACCTCATAAATGTAGTGTGATGGCACAAGCCTGTAATACCAGAGTTAAGGTGGAGGCAGGAGGATCAGAAGTTCAAGGTTATCCTCTGTTTAGACAGATGATGCCATGGTTTTTGTTGACTAGCGAACTCTTCGAGTTTATCCCTGCTCATGTACTACTAACTACTTTGCCAGGTATTGTATTTGTGAAAAGAAGGTCTGTCTAGTCTGGGGTACAAGAGACACTGTCAGGGAAAAGGCAGCAAAAGAACTCACCAGGGAGATGGTCGGGTGACCGCTTGGAGATGGGCAGTACCCCAATGAGTTGATGTTTAGTTTTGTGGGGACTGATGTATATCTGAGAAGTGCTTTAGATTTCTGAGAATGGAAGGTCTGTGTTTCTTTACCTGGTTTGGCAAGCTTTTAGAATTGCACTAGACATTGTCTTGGAACATGGTTGGTGGGAGTTAGAGTTAGATTTATTCCTGTGGTTAAGAGAGCCCAGGCTTCAGTGAGGAAGCTGCTCCTAGGTGGAGTGTGTGTGTGGCACCTTGGCTCTTTCAGAACTTGCCTGTTTGCACTGATGTGAACTAACGTACGTGAAGATGAGGTCCAAGCAGCTTGTCCTGTGCTTCCCTTGCAGGATGACGTTCAGCTTTGGCTGTCCTACATAGTGTTTTGTAAGAAGTGGGTAAGTACAGCCATATGCAGCCCCTTCTCTTTCCTCTGAAGTTTCCTTCTGTTACTGAACTCCATCTTTCTCAAGAGGTACAGGGTTAACTGTTGGAGAAAGAACCCATGGAGACAAGCTGGGCCACAGTGTCACATTGTATATCTGACCATGTAAATGATTTTAAGTCATGTGAAAAGAAAATCATTATATATATTTCTATATTTTTCAGTTAAAAAAAGCTAGAATGTTTATGTTTAATAATTTAGCTATAAAAAGCATGAGTGTGTCTTCTTGTTAGTCTCTGGTAATAACAGATCTTTCTCATTGAAGTGTGTGTGTGTGTGTGTGTGTGTGTGTGAGAGAGAGAGAGAGAGAGAGAGAGAGAGAGAGAGAGAGAGAAAGAGAAAGAGAGAAAGAGAGAAAGAGATATATATATATATATTTTTGTGTATGTGTATATGTCTGGACTATCTTACTATGTAGCCCTATCTGGCCTGGAACTTGCTATGTAGATCAAGCTGGCCTTGAAGTCACAATACTCCATCTGCCTATGCCTCTTAAGTGCTGATTTTAAGTCAAGAGGCACTATTCCTGGGTTTCCCATTTGATTTTATAGTTAGTAAGATGGTATGTGTATGTATATGTATGTATATTTTGCTTATGGATGAGAAGTAGTGATTTCTGTTCAGGAAGTAAAGTGCTTTCTTTTCTTTTACAGGGTACCAAATCTCATCTTAGCAAGATATTCTCTACCATGCTTGCCATTCATTCAAACAAACCAGGTATATCAAAATCTACATTTTATTCAAAAACAGGCCATTTTAGAACTTACTATGCTTGATGAACCTTAGAAGTTATTTGGAGGCCTTGAGCTCAGACAGTTTGCTGTGTCTTAGTTTATCATCCCCGCTTGCTATGCTGTCCACAGTGCCAGGTGTTGCATTTGTGGACAGGAAGGATGGGTTTTCTCTTAGCTGATGGAAAGTCAACTTGCTGGTTCTGTGGGGTGCATTTTATGTGGAGGCAGTAGGTGCTGAGTGATTCTAAAGTTGGAGGAGATATTAACATAGATTTATAAGGTAGGTTGGCTGACACAAGTTGTGCACAAAGTGTAAGAGAAAGAGTCTCCTGTGAGTGGTGAGTAGCGCTGCTCTCTAGTGGAGGTGCTCCAGTGGAGGTGCTCCAGTGACTGTTCTCAGGGTATTAGATCAACCACAAATTTATGACACAGGAATCCAGTGATCTTAGCAATTCATAGGCCTGTCTCTATCGTCCCTAAAGCAGGTGTGATCCCTAAGTTGAGGCTTCTGGAGGGACTACATTAGTGAATAAGGAAACTACTTTGGTAACCCATGGGGGCAAGAGATTCTGGAAATACCCATGCCCAATTTCAGGAGTCGTATGCTCAAGAAAGCTAAAAGAAATGGCTTGCCACGGTTTGTGACCCTCCAAGAAAGTTCAGATGTCATTACCAAGCAGGGGTCATTTTGTGTATGTGTAAGCATGTGGTATATGTGTGGGTGTGCACATGCCATGGTACAGCATGTAGAGTTCAGAGGAAAATTTGTAGAAGGCAGCTCTTTTCTACTATGTAGCTTCTAGGAACCAAATTCAAGTCATTAGATAGGCAGCAAGCACCTTTTCTGGCTGAGCTAGCTTGTCAGCCCTTTTTCCGACTTTAGATAGAGTCATCAAACTTACCATTAGAAACTTCCTCAGCCTCTCTCTTTTTCCTATGGTAAGATTAACAGATAATTCATTAAGTATTAAAATTGGAGCATTGATTGTTTACTGAAATTAAGTCTTAATTTTTTTCTCCTATAGCTTTGTGGATTATGGCAGCCAAATGGGAAATGGAAGACCGCTTGTCTTCAGAGAGTGCCAGGCAGTTATTTCTTCGGGCTCTACGCTTTCATCCCGAGTGTCCAAAGCTCTACCAAGAAGTGAGTTTTTGGGCATGTGGAATGAGAGAGAGGTCTCTGTGACCCTCAGAACGAGGCAGCAATGTCTCTGTGATACGTAGAGAACAAATGTTTCTTAAAATGAAGTTATCCTCCTCTTCTGTGTACTTTATTTTCTCATGGGTAATGGTGCGTCATGAAAATTTTGTTGCTACTTTTAAAAACAGAGATGCTGGAAAGATGGCTCAACAGTTACTAACACTAACTGCTTTTTCAGAGGATCCAGATTGAATTTCCACCACCACCATGTTGGCTCACAATCCTCTGTAACTGTAGGGGATCTGGCACTCTCTTCTTGGCTCCAAGAGCACCATGTGCTGCACAGACATACATGTAGGCAAAACACCCATATACATAAAATATAATTAAACAAAAAACAAAATAAGTAGAGTAACATTAAAATATGTTAATTAATTTTTTTCTTTCTTTTTTGAAGTAGAAACTTGGTATATAGCCTTCGCTATCCTGGAACTCTCTGTATAGACCAGGCTGGCCTCAGAGTCAGAAAGATCAGCCTACCCTTGCCTTCTGGATGCTAGGATTAAAGGCATGTGCCACCATGCTCTGCTGTTTTATTTTATGTGTATGAGTGTAGTTGGAGTTACAGTTGTGACCAGCCGCATGGGTGCAGAGAATCAAAGCTGGGTCCTCAGTAGCAAGTACTCTAACTGTTGAACCATGTTGAACCATCTCTCCAGCCCAAATACAACTTGTTTTTGTTTTTTTAAGACAGTTTCTTTGCATAGTCTTGACTGTCGTAAGACTTTCTCTGTAGACCAGCCTGGCCTCAAACTCAGACCCCAACTGCCTCTGCCTTATCATGAGTGCTGTGATTAAGGGTGTGCACCCCCATTGCCTGGCAAATATGAGTAATTTTCAAAAATGAAATGATTATTGTTTTGTGTGTGTGTGCATTTGCACACCCATACACATGAGTGTACGGTGGAATCTTGAGGCCATGTGAGTACACATTGGTATTTTTCTGGATCTTGGTGTGATTAGTGATCCATCTTGTGACTGTTATTTTGTGAGATTAAATGTCTTAGTTATCTTTTTTCTTTCTTTTTCCTTTTTCTTTTCTCTTTTCTTTTTTTGAGATAGGCTCTCTCCATCATCTTGGAACTCAATACATAGACGAAGCTGGCCCTGAATTCAGAGATCCACCTGTCTCTGCCTCCCGAGTGCTGGGATAAAAGGCCCAAGCCTCCACACCTTGCACTTTTTAATTATCCTGACAAAATAGCATGACCAAGGGAATTTATGAAAGAAAGCATTTAATTTAGGCACTCATGGTTCCCAGGGGTTACAGTTCATGACTACAGTTGCAGGGAGCATGGCGGCAGGCAGGCCTGTGCTGGAGCAGGAGCATGGCGGCAGGCAGGCCTGTGCTGGAGCAGGAGCGAAGAGTTCATGTCTGATCCACAAACATGAGCAGAGAGGGAGCTAACTGGGAGTGGGGTGTGTTTTTGAAACCTGAAAGCCCACACTGTCAGGAAAGTCCCTAAGGAAACGGCAGTTTTTGTTTAGTAAACATACTCTTATATGTCTCCTTCTTTGTTACTAAATGAGATAGAAATCTGGATTACATTGAGCACAAAGGCTTTTTACTACACACGGCTGAGTTTAAGTGAAATCACTTGCAGAAACTTCCACTAAGTCTCTTGACTCTTACACATAGATTACGTGTCAAAAGTAGTCTCCATCCGACCTCATCAATATCAGCCAGGTTCATTCCAAGTAAATGTGCTCCCCTCATTTTCCTGGATCAGATATTAATGGTTTTTTTAAAGAAGCCATCTTGAATGTTTTTAATTTAAAAAGCATCTCTAAGGACTTTAAGGACATTATTTCCTATTTTAGTACTTTAGGATGGAGCTGATGCATGCTGAGAAACTGAGAAAGGAAAAGCAAGAATTTGAAAAAGCTGCCATGGATGTGGTAAGAGCTCGTGTGTTGACTGTTAGTCTTTTGAGCCTCCTTAGAAATAAAAGACGAATCTTTGAGATATACTTTTCTTTCTAATTTAATGTTACATTTTTCACTTTCAAATGGGTTTGTAGGTTATTTTAATTTTTAGAACGATATTTTAGTGTGTGTTTATGCCGTGGCGTTTGTTCGGGGGACAGGTTGAGGAAGTTGGTTCTCTCTTGCCACTACTTGGATCTTTTTCCCCACTGAGCCATCCTGTGGGCTCTTGATCCTCCTGCCTCAGCCTTCTGAGGGGTGAGAGTAAAGGTGTGCTCCACCATTCCTGGCTCTTTTCCTTCTTACATAATTTGTAATGTGACCGAATAACTTTAAAGAAAAAGTTTTGAATGTCAGAGCTGGCGTTATGAGGCATGCCTGTAATTCCAGTATTTGTGAATCTGAGCCAGAAGGATTGTGAGTTCTAGGCTAGCCTGGGCTATATAGCAAGACCCTGTCATCAAAAAGATAAAACAGCAAAACTAAAGTAGACACTAAAGAATTTGCTGTACCATTATTGTGTTTTTAGCTTAGAACCTTGTGTGTAGGTGGGGTATGCATATGCGAGGTATGTTTATGTATTTGCATGTGAGGGAGTGTGCAAGTACATGTGTGTGTACATGTATGTGGTAGCCAAAGGTTGGTGTATTCCCCTTCAACTGCTTCTCCACCTTGTATTTTATCTTTTAATCACATTTGAGAATGCTGCCTTTTTTGAGTGTGTGTGTGTGTGTGGGGGGGCACATGTCAGTGTGTGTGGAGGTCAGAGGATAATTTGCAGGGGTCGGTTCTCTCCGTTTGTCACATGGGCCCCAGAGGTCCATCTCAGGTGGTCAGTCAGCAGCAGGCACCTTTCCTCACCGAGCCCTCTCATCAGCTCTCACTTCTCTTTTAAGTTATACTTATTTTTGTGTGTGTGTGCCACAGTGTCCATGTGTGGGTCAGAGGATGAACTACTTTGAGGAGTTGGCTCTCTCCCTCCATCACTTATCTCAGGGATCCAGTTCAAGTCATCAAGGCTTGGCAGCAGGCACCTTACCAATGAATCATCTCACTCGCCTTTATTATTATTAAAAAAATTATTATCTTTCATTTGTTTTGAGACAGAGTCTTGTTACCTGGCCCCTCTTTGCTTGGATCTCTTATGTTGGCCAGGCTGGCCTTGAACTCAGAGACCCATCTGCCTCTGCCTCCTGAGTGCTGGGATTAAATGTGCCCAGGTACTTCCATTCATCTGTTTGTGTGTGTGTGTGTGTGTGTGTGTGTGTGTGTGTGTGTGTGTTTGTGTGAGTGTGTGTGTTGGGTAGTGGTGGGAGTGTCTTGAAGGCACTATAATATGTGTGTTGTGGTCAGGGGACAACTTGTGGGAGTTGGTGCCTTTCCCTTTTAAGCTATTTTGTTGGTCCTTTCCATCCTATCTTTTGAGATAGGGTCTCTCACTGAACATGGAACTCACCAGTTTGATCAGACAGCTGGCCAGTAGGCCCCATCCATCCCTGTCTCTTTTTCCGTAGTACTAGGGTTACAGGTACCTGTCACCACACCTGGCTTTTTGCATAAGTACTGCAGATACACACTTGTGGCAAGCATTTCATCAACTTAGCTTTTTCCCTGGCCCTCAGGAGGTGTTTTAGTTCAAAACACTAAAGAGGAGGATAATCACGGTATGTACGACTGGATCTGTTCTGGTCTAATGGAGAGTGAGCCTTAGAGAAACAGCTGGGTGACACTAGTGTTTAAGCTGCACACCTTACACATGAAGGAGCTAGCCTTGGAATTGTGATTTGTCAGAGGTCCTGTGGCACTGGTAGTCTAGGCCTGTTAATCTCTATCCTGGTGGGTTGGTTTTTGGTACTTCCTGGTAATGCCTTTTCAGTCACGGTTGATGTAACACTTTGTAGGGGAATTTTGATCATCCTGAAGAAATCCTTAAAGGCGAGTTGGCAAGGATCATTTACAAAAATTCTATAAGCAAAATTAAAGGTAGGTATCCTCTATATACTTATTTTTGATAGGTGTTCTGTTTGTGATGAGAACTTGTGTTTGTGTGACTGTTAGCTTGTAGGCAAAGCATACTGTGTCTTCAGAAAAAGCTTCCTACTGAGCTATCATCAGGCATTTCAATAAGGTTTTATTGAATAGTCAACTAATTGGGGGAGTTGAAAAGGAGTAGATGATATAATTCTTTGCCTTATGCCCTTAATTTTGTGAAACTTAAGAATAGTTAGAAGTATTTCAAAATATTAATATGTCTTTGTATATGTCACGTGGTGGGGCTATAGGAATATTTCCTCTCTTTGTTCTGTTTAAAAAACAAACAAACAAGCCGGGCGGTGGTGGCGCACGCCTTTAATCCCAGCACTTGGGAGGCAGAGGCAGGCGGATTTCTGAGTTCGAGGCCAGCCTGGTCTACAGAGTGAGTTCCAGGACAGCCAGGGCTATACAGAGAAACCCTGTCTCGAAAAACCAAAACAAACAAACAAACAAACAAACAAACAAACAAACAAAAGTTACCACAAGAAGGCTACCTGTTCTAACAGTGAGCATAGCTTAGTGGTACAGCTTGCATGAGGTCATGGGTTTAATCCAGCACCAGGAAAACAAAAACAGGGCTTGATATGGTGCCCCCTAACACCGGAGGATCATGAATTGGAGGCCATCTGAGGCAGGGCTTGTAGCGTAGTGATAAGGTGCTTGCCTGGCATGCACAAGGCTTTAGCTTTGATCCCTGCTGTTAGGGTTCAGGGGAGGAGTAGAAGTCAGCCATGGCTAGAGAGGGAAGCCTTGTCTCAAAAGACAGCAACCCCCAAAAGACTGACTCTAATACCTAAAGAAAACGGCGCGCTTAGAATGAAGTGTGTCTTTACAGTTTGACTGATAGCAGATCGTCCTCTCCCTCAATTTTTAAATTGTAGGTGCGGAATTCCATGTGTCACTTCTTGCTATTGCTCAGCTGTTTGATTTTGCCAAAGATCTACAGAAGGAAATTTATGATGAGTAAGTAAAACAATGGGGAGGCCAACATGTCTGTTTCTGGTCTGTGTTAAGATCTGAGGCTGGGAGAAGAAAAAGAATGTACACTGGGCATGGTGGTGCACGCCTTTAATCCCAGCACTTGGGAAGCAAATGCAGATGGATTTCTGAGTTTGAAGCCAGTCTGGTCTTCAGAGTGAGGTCTAAGACAGCCAGGGCTATACAGAGAAACTCTGTCTCAAAAAGCCAGAACAAGGGCTGGAGAGATGGCTCTGCAGGTAAGAGCACTGGCTGCTCTTCCAGAGGCTCTGAGTTCAATTCCCAGCAACCACATGGTGGCTCACAACCAGGTATAATGGGATCTGGTGCCCTCTTCTGGTGTGCAGGTGTACATGCAGATAGAACACTCATATATACATAAATAAGTAAATCTTAATGAAGAAAAGCCAGAACAAAACAGAATAAAAATAGGAAAAAAAATCCTTTATAAGCTTTAGGGAAAATGATGCTGTATTATGAATAGAAATGATATATTCCCACAGTGGTTCTTTGACATACTCGGCTTCAATTCTGAAACATCCCACACATATCCCAAAGGCTTCCGTTAATACACGTTCTTCTTTTCTGCAAAATCAGAGTTGTATTCTTAACTCTTCATAGCTAAGTGCTATTAATACTTTAATCTGCAGTGTCTGATTCTGGTATTTAAGAAATATTTGTGCGTATTAGTTAATTTTTGAGCTTTGATGAAACATTATGACCAAAAACAATTTCTTTTGGCTTATGGTTCCAGAAGCCTAGAGTCCATAATGGTGGGAAAGACAGGGCATGCTAGTGCAAACAGAAAGTTGGCTGATGACATCTTTACCTGCACACAGGAAGCAGAGGGAGTGAACAGGAAATGAAATATGGCCCTAACCCACAAATCCTGCTCCCAGTGATGTTCTTTCTTCAGATTCCACAACCTCTCCAAACAGTGCCACAAACTAGAGACTGAGTGCTCAAGCCATGAGCCTTATGGAGTGCTTCTCATTGAATCCACTGCATAATGTTTACATTGGGCACTTGTTCTTAGGTTCCACTTCTCGATGTCATAGGAGATAAGCTAGAACAGTTTGTTCTTTGGGTATCTTCAGAGTTTCGGTAGAGAGTTCAGTTGTGCTTTTTCTATGCTTCTGTTAGAATTCAAGAGACCAGGCTCTGCAGGGCTCATAGAGGCGCCTGTGGCCACAGATAACGACTGTGAATTGGAGAGCTATAATAATTTTAAAGATACTATTTGTTGGGGTTTTGTTTGTTTGTTTGTTTGTTTCTAAACAGGGTCTGGAACTCACTAGGCTGGCCTTGAATGTGTGGGGATTGTTCTGCCTCAGGCTTCTGAATGCTGGGAATATAGGCTTATGCTACTGTGCCCAGCTAAAAGTTAACATTTATAAATGATGCCTGAAACATTGTGAAATCCAATGGATAGATAACAACTTTGTTCCATTGATAAGACTATCCATTAAGCTGTTCTGGAATGCCTGTTAGGAAATTACTCTGTGTTACTATAGCTGTAAAGGGTATCCTGTGTCCTTCTGTGGACCGTAGGAATTCTGTTATTCTCGAATCGGCTTCTATCATGAGACAGGTGCCAGTAAACTGTAATTTTCAGCCTTCAAGCTCTGCACACCGATGACCCACTCACGTGGGATTATGTGGCGCGGCGGGAATTAGAGATTGAGTCCCAACCAGGTGAAGAGCAGCATGTATCGAAACAAGCCAAAGCAGTGGAGGTGGGCCGCAGGGAAGAAAGGTGCTGTGCAGTGTATGAAGAGGCAGTGAGGACCCTGCCTACAGGTGCGTCTGTCTTGGGATGTCAGAGCGATGGTCCATGACTGAAACGGACAGTCCGATTCTCAGCACTTATGTTGGTATACGAAGTCTCTGAAGAGGGTGGAGATGTATCTCAGTGGTAGGGCACTTACCCAGCAAGCATGTGCCCTGAGTTCAGTCTCTCGTAGACAAGAAAAAAAGAGAATATCTATATGGGACAGTTTACAGTGTTCCTGGCTTGCTTTTTCTTTCCTTAAATTAAAAATGATACGTGTATTTATTTATTATGTGTGTGAGTGAATGCCACAGCATATGTACGGTGGTAAGAGAACAGACACATCACCGCTGTGGGTTCTCCCCTTTTTTTTCTCCCTCTTTTTTTTAAAAATACTTATTTTATGTATATGAGTACACTGCCACTGTCTTCAGACACACCATGTGGTGCTGGGAATTGAACTCAGTTCCTCTAGAAGACCAGCCAGTGCTTTTAACCCCTGAGCTATCTCTCTAGACCCCCCCCCCTTTAAAAAAAAAAGATTTATTTATTTACTTAATATGAGTAAACTGTAGCTATCTTCAGACACATCAGAAGAGGGCGTCGGATCCAGTTACAGATGGTTGTGAGCCACCATGTAGTTTCTGGGAATTGAACTCAGGACCTATGGAAGAGCAGTCAGTGCTCTTTAATTGTTGAGCCATCTCTCCAGACCTTTTTTTTTATTATTATTAAGATTAATTTATTTATTCTATGTATATGAGTGCTCTATCTGCATGTACATCCGATCATATTATAGGTTATGAGCCACCATGTAGTTGCTGGAGATCGAACTCAGGACCTCTTGAAGAGCAGACTGTGACCTTAATTGCTAAGCTGTCTCTCCAGCCCCTGGTTCTCCAGCCCCTGGTTCTCTCCTTATATGTGGGTCCTTCTAAGGAAGTGGGGTGAGGTCATCAGGCTTGGCATCAAGAGCCTTTATGTGTTAAGCTGTTTTGCCAGCCCTTTTATGCATACTCTTCTTTTTTTTTTTTTTTGCATACTCTTCTTTTTTGAGACAGGACCTCACGTATCCCAGGCTGGCCTCAATCCACTAAATAGGCCACGGTGACCTTGAACTTCTAAACCAGTATGTGTGGCGCCTCCAGCATGTTAGATAAGCACTCTAATTAAGCACTCTTAATAGTTTTTAAGCCAGGGTAATTTAAACTTTGTTTTTAAAGCAATTCATTTTTGTTATTTTTATTTTATGTATATATGTATTTGTCCCTGTGAGTGAATAATGTCATATGTGCTGGTACCCACAGAAGCTAAAAGAGGTTTTCAGACTCCTTGGAACTGGAGTTACACGAGTTGTGAGCTGCCCAATTTGAATGCTAGAATTCTAACTCAGGTCCTCTTGAAGAGCAGTGAGTGCTCGTAACCATTGGGCATCTCCAGCTCCTGATTTAAACTTTGTTTAGAGGAGTGTCCTCTTGAAAGGAAGGTGTTTGAACTAAGAGGACTGGTGACCTAATTGGTGTCATCTGACTTTTCCAGAGGCCATGTGGAAGTGTTACATCACCTTTTGCTTGGAGAGGTTTTCTAAGAAGACCAGTAGTGTACCTCTCAGAGGGCAGGTAAGGATTTACATTGCATAGCCACAGTGAGAGGTTAGAAAGTGTCTCTTCTCTAGAGAAGGACACTGGGCAGCTTTCGGCATGTCAGACTTGTCATCATGAAGATCTAGTCAGGTTTGTTCTTAATCTGGATAAAGGACAGGAGGACTTTCTGCTGATTGGATTGTGCCCGGTGCAGGTGCTTAGCTCATCTCTTCCTGACCATACCTCGTTTAGAACTCATGGCCATCTCTGAATTCTCAGAAATGTTCAAGATCACTTTTGCCCAGCTCAGTGGCCAGCGCGGCTGCCAGAATCTGCTTAATGACCTGACCTGTTTCTGATTCCAGAGGCTGGAAAGAACTGTGCTTGCATTCAGGAAGGCCCATGAGCTGAAGTGCCTTTCGGAAGTCCAGTACAAGCAGTGGGTAAGGCCAGAGAGAGCGCATTCACTGCCCGTTACATGTGCTTTATTCTGATTAAGGTACCTGTCAGCAGAACAGTCAGAGTGAGCTGACTGGAAGTAGTGAACTCCCCCTCCCTCCCACCCCTATCCTTTTCTTCCCTCATCTTTTCTCTTCCACACCCCCTCTCCTCCTCACTTTTTCTTAAGGATTGATTTTTGTTTTATGTCATGAGTGTTTTGCCTGCATATATGTATACAGACAAAAAACTCTCTTCTACAGGCTAGAGGAGAGTTTTGGGTCTCCTGCAGCTGATTGGAGTTACAGATGGTTGTTAGCTGCTGTGTGGGTGCTGAGAGTTTAACCTGAGTCCTCTGGAGGAATAGCCAGTTTTCTTAACTGCAGGACCACCTCTCCAGCCCTTCCCTCCCCTCCCCTCTCCCTTTCCATTCCCCTTTTCCTTCCCTCCCCTCCCTTCTCCCTCCATCTTCCCCTCCCCCTTTCCCTTCTCTCCCTCTTCTTCCCCTTCCCCTCCATCTCCTTCCACTTCTCTTCCTTCCTGGCTTCCCTTCCTTTCACTTCCTCCTTTTTCCTTCCCAGCCACTTTTCCTCTTGCCCATTTCGTCTTTTCTCCCTCCCTTTGCTTTCCCTAACTCCTCCTTTTTTGCGGCGTTGTCCCTGAAATCCCAGTGCTGGAAAGGCAGATACCCTGAAGTTCATCTATTCAGTTCAGGGTTTGGATCCCCACCACCCATGTAAAAGCCTAGAATTCTAGTATGCTGAAGGTGAAGATGGATCCCCAGAGTGAACCTGCTAGTTAGATTAGCGTACGCGTGAGCTCTGGGTTTAGTTGAGAGACCCTGCTTCAGTGAATAAGGTGAGCGCTATGGAGGAAGCTAACATCAGCCTTGCACACCCATGTGGATGAACACACATGTGTGTACACCAGCGTGCACATTTGAACCTACACACATGTGCACACACATAGACACATGCAAAAAAAATATAGAAGGAAATTCTGGAAACCACCCAACATCAACCTCTGGCATATATCTCTCTCCTCTCTCTCTCTCTCTCTCTCTCTCTCTCTCTCTCTCTCACACACACACACACACACACACACCCTATATCAGCAAGCATATGTTTACACTCTCACAAACAACAAATATGTCTTAAACACACAAATAAAAGTAAAAATGACAAGATTATTCTGGTTTTCCCGTAATCTTTCGGGTAAAGCTACTCAAAACTTTTTTTTTTTTTTAATTTACTGTAACTTCTTAACTTGGTCCCTGCCCATAATTCTGGAAACATCTTCTGTCACCCCTCCAATCATGCTAAACATTGGAAGCTCTGTGACCAGGAAGAGTGTCTGGTTTTCTCGGTATTAAATTTGGCCTGTAACAATGCATAGTAAATGCATTTGCTGTAGAACTAGCTACAGACAGCTGTTCATTGGTTGTTTTTCACAATTTTGTAAAGTTCTGTTGTAAAATGATTAAAAGTGTTTGGATGTTTGGCCGAATGTGCATCTTTACATCACATGTGTGCCTGGTGCCTTAGGAGGCCAGAAGAGGGTGTCGGGTCCCCTGAGACTAAGTACAGACAGTTGTAACCTGCCATGTGGGTACTAGGAATTGATCCCAGGTCCTCTGGAAGAGCAGCCAGTGCTCTCAATCCTCAATCCCTGAGCCTTAACCTCTCCAACACCCCCCTCCCCCCCATGATTCATGTTATATAATGTCAAAATACATTTTGGAAAAGTTATACCAGTGACCTGCACTGAATGAATCCATGAATTTCCTTACAAGTCTACAAATACTGTTTTTATCTTTATTTTGCTGTAGTGGGTGTGGGTTCTTCCTTACATTACTTAGACTCTCTGCTTTTCCTCATCAGTCTGTATGCATGTGTCATGGCCTGTGTGTGAGGAGAGTACCTTTGGAAGGTGATTCTTCCCTTCAGTGTGGGATCCATAGATAGAGCTCAGGCTGGCATGGTTGCCCGGCAGACACCTTTACCTGCTGAGCTATCTGTCTTTTCAGCCCTCTTTATGACTTTCTGATAGTCCTTTGTGTAGAATCAGGGAAAGGAGGAGGAATCCCAGATGCCCTTTCTGCCTGTTTAGCAGCTGTGGTAAAAGGTGTAGTGGGAAGGCTATTGAACTTGTTGTCAGAAATAGTTTGTATGTGCATCTGTTTATATCTGGAATTTTGCTTTCAAGTGGCACTTTACAGTGTGCTTTGTCTTTCTTAGATTGACTTGTTGCTGCGCCAGGACCTCTTCAAAGAGGCTCTGCAGGTGGCAGAAGCTGGGACTGAATTGTTCAAGGACTCTGTAACAATGTGGCAGACGAAGCTGCAGGCGCTCATTGACTCAAAGAGCCCAGATGTAGTGATGCACTTTGAAGAAGCCTTTGCACACCTCAAACCCCAGGTCTCTGAACTGTTTCTTTTATAGTTCATTTTTTTTTAGATTTATTTTTTATTATATTATGTGTATGGGTAAGGTTGAATCCACAGCTTCATGCAGGCTGAGCAAGCCCCCTATCAACTAAACTATATCTCTAGCCCTCTTTTTGAAACTTTTGGAAAAATGTTTAAGATTTGCGTGAAAGCTCATTTGTAATATATTTGTCTGCTGAGAGCAAACCCTAGAGTGATAGTTGTTGTTAAGTGGTAAGAGTTCAAGGATTGGATAGAAAACTTACTTCTATTTCTAGTCATTTATTTGCAACATTACTAAATCATGAAAGATCTCTTATTCTGTTTAAATATCTTACAAATAATAAATACTAATGGAATATTCTCACTTGCATCTGCATCTGATTATAAACTCAACCTGCAATCATAAAAATCCAAACTTTAATGCTCTACATTTATTTGGCAGTAAATCTTTTGTGTTAGTGAGCGGAAAAACAGACTGCAGAGTCAGGTGGGCACAGACGCAGTTACTGCTCTCCCAGCTGCCTCTCCACACTGAAGATCGGGCAGGCCAACCTACATCCGTTCTTCTTTTTTTTTTTTTTTTTTTTTGTTTTTCGAGACAGGGTTTCTCTGTGTAGCCCTGGCTGTCCTGGAACTCACTCTGTAGACCAGGCTAGCCTCGAACTCAGAAATCCGCCTGCCTCTGCCTCCCAAGTGCTGGGATTAAAGGCATGCGCCACCACTGCCTACATCAGTTCTATGCAATGGCTCCCAGACCGCAGACACAAGGCCTGGGTAGCTGTGAGGCTGATTGGCTGTGGGCTTTTGTTCGCTTCACTGAAAGATGATTGCCAATGATGATGACTACAGTTGGGATTCCCTGTTGGAATTGGACTAAATATATCAAAGTGTTGCTTTGGGTGACTTGTCTGGGGGCTGTAACCACCATCTTTATAGTGGTAAGTCTCCAGAGCACGGTGCTGTGTAGTCATATCTAATGGCTTCCTTTTTTTGCAAGCAGGTTTGCTTGCCCTTGTGGGTTTCTTGGGCAGAGTGGAGTGAAAGTGCTAAAAGCCAGGAGGACACTGAAGCCATCTTTAAGGTACAGGCTCCTGTTTCTGTTCCTTGTGTAGGGATTCGGTATTTCCTATCCTATCCTAAGTCACAGACTAGTGGCTCAGGTGGGTCTTCAAACCAGGTTTGCTATCTCTAAGTTCCCTTTGTTTTTCCTTTCAATGTAGAAAGCTATGTTAGCTGTCACAGGCACCAGCTCAGTGACCCTGAAGGAGAAATACCTGGATTGGGCTTATCGGAATGGAGGCTACAAAAAGGCCAGAGCAGTGTTTAAAAGGTACTGGCAGGCGCTCAGAGCTGTTCCTATCCTGCCCACACTCAGCCCCTCATACCTACCTACTGTGTGCATCACACAGTGTCTGCAGTGGTGACCTGAGAAACTTTCTAAACTTCCTTTTATTGATTTTGCATAGTTAAAGCAATTTGTACACTTGGGGTAAATAACAATTAGATCATTGTCACTGATGATTGTAATTATGTCATTAGTCCAAGCAGCTCTGTTGGTACACCATTTCTTTATAAACCAGAGAGATTGAGCCCAGGGCCTTGTACCTGCACAAGGGCTGGACCACTGAGCTGCGTCTCCAGCCTAGTACATCCTTTTAAGCCTTCTTTCTTACATAGTTGATACCACATTATAATCCTAGTTTTGAATTCAATTGGAAAGCATTAGACAGCCTTTTTTCCTTGTAGCTGGGCTACTTTATGGGTTCCTTTTTCTTCTACCCTTCTCCACTGCTCTTCTTCCCTTTCAGCCCTCCTAACACTAGGTAGGAGAGAAAAAAAAGACAGAGGGCAGAGGGGGCAACAATATCCTTAGACTGCTTCCTGCTGATTAGAGCACTGAGTTCCTTGGGGAGAGTTTGATCTTCACCAGCAGGGTATCTAAGTTCTTCTTTTCTTCTCCTTGCACACAACTACTTGACAAACAGCAACAAATTAGAGGCAACCAACAGTCTCTGTCAGGGCTCTATCATTTATATCTCCTCTGAAGAGTCCCAGATACCAAACGTCACACCCTTCAGAAACCACGTCCCTGCCAGAGCTCGAGGCAAGTCCTAGTCAGCTGCTGTGGACAGTCTGAAGCAGCCAAGCCTCATATCCCACATCGGGGATTAAAACAAAAACATATTCTCATAATGTTTCTGTGTTTTTAAAGAAACCAAAATTCTCACTGCATTTCCTCTTCAATAAAACTCAATAGCAGCACTTATTTAAAATGGATGACTAAGTCAGGAGATCAGTGAGCCTAGAGCCTCGAGACCAAACAAGGCAACAGAGAAAAAGTCACTTGAAGCTGAGGCAGGGGACTGGCTCCAGCAGGTCCTGTTTGGCTGTGTTGACCAACCTGATGTTGGGAGTGAAGCCTGGTTATTCATCCATGTTTATAAGTTGTAAACGGCTTTCTGTCACTGCGGGGACTAACATTTCCACCCCCTTTCAGTTTACAGGAAAGCCGTCCATTTTCAGTTGAGTTTTTCAGGAAAATGATGCAGTTTGAAAAGGAGCAGGTGAGTATTCTGAGCACTTCCTGCCTGGAAACACATCTCTGTGCTTACATTCAGAGCAGCACGGTGGTGTTATTTAAAACTTGTTAGAGCAGAACGCAAACTCCCTGTCCCTTGGTTTAGCTCTTTTCCATAGAGCTGGTAAGAGTGGTAATCAAGCCAAGGAGAGAGAGTCACCTGTGGAGGAACAGAAACACCCAATGGGACCGGAAGCTCCGTGCTGTGCTGGGTGAGGGGCTCCTACAGCTGAACTCTTCTGTACTGTTCCTCTCTTGGCTTAGGCTGTAGAGTGACATTCAATTCCTGTTTCAGGCGGTCTTAACTGTAGCTTATTAGTGAAAAGGTAGGAAAGTCTGTTAAAAAGTAATAGTCAGCTCAGGGTGGTAGTGTAGTGTGCACCTTTAATCCCAGCACTCAGGATCTCTGAGTTTGAGGCCAGCCTGTTCTATGTACTGAGTTTTAGGCTAGCCAGAGCTGCAAAAAAGAAAACAAACCAAAATTGAGCAAATAAACTCCCTCTCATATTTCTTTTTGTTGTTGTTGTTGTTGTTGTTTTGAGACAGGGTTCTCTGTATAACCCTGGCTGTCCTGGAACTTGCTCTGTAGACTATGCTGGCCTTGAACTCAGGTCCGCCTGCCTCTGCCTCCTGAGTGCTGAGATTAAAGGTGAGTGGTACCATGCCCCACCCTCCAAAAAGACAAATGTTAAAGTATTGTCTTACAGCATCTCCAGAGGCGGCTCAGTGGTTAGGAGCGCTAGCTACTCTTCCATAGGACTTGGGTTTGGTTCCCAACACCCTCATGACTTCTAGCTGTTTGTAACTCCAGTTTCAGGGACCCAACACTGTCTTCTAGCCCTCAGGAGCAGCGTATGCATATGATACACATACATATGCAGGCAAAATACAGAAGATGGATAAATGTATAAAAAATCCTTAAAAAGTCAGATGTATGTTATCACATTTGTTATATATGCTACCATATAGCTTTCTGAAACAATTATAATTGTTTTGCTAATGTATATCTTCCAAAAGAATTGTAACTGTTTATAAAAAATAGTCAGCTAATGGCTCTAATGGGTGTGCATACCCATTTCCTCATTGCTTCTTTAAGTATTTAGCTTTGTTTTTGTTGTTGTTTCTTTTCTTTGATTTTGGTATTTTACTTGGCATTTATTTTTATTTGAATTTTGAAAAATTACTAGTGAGATTGAGCTTCTGTTTTGTGCTGAAGAATAATATAGTCTTATATGATGAGACAGTTTGGCATAATATTTAATAATCAACCTCTGTGTTATTAATGTAATAATTATGCCTAGACAAGTCACTTCATTGTAAGTCTTACCCTCATCTGTGTAGGAAGGCTCTCTGCCCGCTAAGCATGTGAGAGACGTACATGGCCCAGTGGGACAGTGGATAGGAAAGAATGTGTATAGCACCATGTATATCAGGATCCTTTAGCAAAGTGTGTTTGCATATTTATGCATATGAAGTTAAACTGACTTCAAAATATGTAGCTTGGAGAAGGGAGATTTGAATAAATAAAATAATTTTCTGTTTTGTTTTGAAACAGGCTTTCCTCTGTGTAGCTTTTGACTGTCCTGGAACTCATTGTGTAGACCAGGCTGGCCTTGAACTCAGTGATCTGCCTGCCTCTGCCTAATAGTAAAGGCATGTGCCACCACTGCCCAGTGTTCTAATTTTTGTTTTAATGGTGCTAAGGACTGAACTCATGAAGTAGTTACTTTATACTAAATGCTTTTTAAAAAATTAAGTTATGTGTTTCTTTGTGGAAGTATGGGAGTGCAGATTCCCCTGGAGGCCAGAAGATGGCCTCGAGTCCTCTGGATCTGTAGTTACAGGTGCTTGTGAGCCGTAGGACTTGATTGTCAGGAGAGGAACTGAACTCATATCTTCTGCAAGAGCAACAAGTGTTCTTAACAGCTGAGCACATATAAAAGACTTTATTTAATTGGGCAGTGGAAGCCAGGAGACAGAGGCAGGTACATCTCTTGAGTTTGAGGCCAGCCTGGTCTATAGAGTGAGTTTTAAGATAGCCAGGGATACACAGAGAAACCCTGTCTTAAAAAAAAAATTAGATGATGTTTGTCTACTTTGAAAATACACTCAAAAGAATACATTTAATAGTAGAGGTGCAGTTGGTAGGGCGCTTTCCCAGCATGTAAGAAGTTCTGGGTTTAATCCCCAGCTTCACAGAAACTGGGTGTGGTGATGCACACCAGTTATTTCAGCGCTCAGGAGGTGGAGGCAGGAGAATCAGAAGTTCAAGACCACTCTTGGTTATATAAAGTTCAAGGACAGCAAGAGCTGTGAAAGTGGTGCCCACTATTCTGTTAGGTCATAGCTTGTTACCGCTCTAGCGGTGGGAGGACCTGGGACAGTGGAGCTCTGATGAGTTCAAACTGTACACAGTCAAAAGGACAAGCCACACATGGCAAAATACGCTTTTCCGTAGAGGCTGGGAAGGATAATTGAATGACAACAGCAAGCAATAATGAGAGATTTGAAGTAAACTCACTTCTGTCGCCACGCCTGGGAGGAGCAGGAAACACTAAGAACATGGCTGTGTTTTTGAAGAAACCGAGGTCACAAGACTCTGTCTTGTTTTCTTGGAGTGTTCTCTCTGAATTCTTCTCGCATGATTGCATTCCTGGATGACGTTCCAACAGCATCCCATACTCTGTTACCTGTAGTGGTGCTGAGGTGCTTTCCAAGTGAAGAAATACATGAAGCCAGAGGCTTAAGAACCTTGCACGTCATACGCTAGCATTTATGTGTTTTTGTGATACAAGAATTTTAGAGCCAGGTGTGGTGGCTCATGCCTTTAAAGATTTATTTATGTTTATTTCTGTGAGTACACTTAGCTGTCTGCAGACACACACCAGAGAGTGGATCGGATCCCATTACAGATGGTTGGGAGCCACCACACCATTGAACTCGGGACCTCTGGAAGAGCAGTCAGAGCTCTTAACCGCTGAGCCAGCTCTCCAGCCCGGCTCATGCCTTTTATCCCAGAACTCAGGAGGATTGCTGTTAACTCTGTGCCAACCTGGGCTACATAATGAAATCTTTTTTTGTTTGTTTGTTTTTTTCGAGACAGGGTTTCTCTGTGTAGCCCTGGCTATCCTGGAACTCACTCTGTAGACCAGGGTGGCCTCGAACTCAGAAATCCACCTGCCTCTGCCTCCCAAGTGCTGGGATTAAAGGCGTGCGCCACCACTGCCCGGCTTCTTTTTAAAAATTAAAAAAAAAATTTTTTTTTTGTCTTGTTTATTTTATGAGTTGCCACAGTCCACCTGTGAAAATCAGAGAACAACTTTTGGGAGTTGACTTTTCTCTTCTGCCGTGTTAGGGATTGAATTCAGGCTGTCAGGCTTGGTGGTAGGTGTCCTTAGCTGCTGAGCCATTCCCTGCCTGTTTTTTCTTCCTTTTTTTGGATAAGTCGAGAAACTAGACTGGTTTGGCCCTTCTCCTTCAAACACCTAACATGTAGTAGTTGCTTAAAATAGGAAGTGAATTTATGATTCGATGAATGAAGCCAGATCTTCTGATTGTTTTTATAGGAGTCCTGCAAGATGGTGAACCTGAGGGAATATTATGAGCGGGCGTTGAGAGAGTTTGGGTCTACAGATTCTGGTGAGTAAACTTCAGTTACGAGCGTAGCCTGACCATTGCTCATGCTGTCTCTAGCTGTTAATATGGCTAGGGTAGTGTTTCTAGTTTGTGTCCTAGGCCCTTCTTGGAACAGGTCTTCAGTGCTTTTCCTGCCTTCTTTCCTTGTGTTTTTTGAGACACGATCTCACGCTGTAGCCCAAGCTAGGCTGGAACTCACTACATAGCCTAGACTCAACCCCCCCGGCAATATTCCTGCCTCCACCTCTACAGCAATGAGGTTTTCTTATCACTTAAGTTTGCAAACCCTTGTATCCACTACTTCTCTTAAGAACTCTGGATCAGAGAAGGATTTGCTTGGTTTGGGTCTTTTAAAAAAGAGAAATTTGTGTGGCCTGGTAAGATAGCTATATGGCCAAAGGCACTTGTTTTCAAGCCTAAAGACATGAATTTGATCTCTTGGACCCACATGGTAGGAAGAAAAGAACTGACTTCAACAAGTTGTTCTCTGACCTCCACATGTATGCCACCACATGCAGGTGTGTATGTACACATACAATATAAAATAAATAACTTAATAAAATGATGCGTGCTGGGATGCAGTAACTCACGACTATAATCTTCTTGCTGCATAGGGGGAAGCAGGAATATTGCCAGGAGTTTTGAGGCCAGTGTAGACTATGTAGTGAGTTCCAGCTAGCCTGGCCTACAGAGTGAGACCCTATCTCAAAAAATTCAAAACCAAACCAATTAAGCCAAACCAAGTATTTATAAAGGAAAAGTTAGTACAGTAGTCACAGCTGGTCATATATAGTCATCACAGTAGGAGACTGGAACAGTCAGTGCTTAGTCAGGTATAACAGGGCTAGCTTGCTGAGGCGCCATGTGGGGCTGACTAGATGATAGCACGGTACACATACCGAGTCTTTTAAAAAGTAGGGAGGAAGCCAGGCAATGGTGGCATACACCTTTACTCTCAGCACTTGGGAGGCAGAGGCAGATGGATCTCTGAGTTTGAGGCCAGCCTGGTCTACAAAGTGAGTTTCAGGACAGCCAGGGCTACACAGAGAAACCCTGTCTTGGAAAAAAAATGTAGTGAAGATAGAAAGGAGTTTGAAAGTTTTTACTGTAAAGACATGATAATATTTGAGGAGATATATATATATATATATAAAATTTCTCTTAATCTTATGTGTGGAAGCTTCTTAGAACTTTTTAACTGGCTTAGTATTAAATAACTGAATTTGCCTAATTAAAGCCTTTCCAGTTTTCTAGCTATGTTTACAGTAGTTTTTTGGTTCCTTTTAAAGATCTTTGGATGGATTACATCAAGGAAGAATTGAGCCATCCCTTCGGTAGACCTGAGAACTGCGGACAGATCTATTGGCGAGCCATGAAAATGTTACAGGGACAGTCAGCAGAGCTGTTTGTAGCTAAACATGCCATGCATCAGGCTGGTCACTAGTCACCACCAGTTTGCTGAAATTGTATTGCAAGTCTTCGGTCAGGTTTGTGATGAGCCGGTGTGTGAGTTGTCGAGAACTGGCAGGAGAACGGATTGATTTTCGTAACATACTTTTACTTGGCGTTACTCTTTGGTTCTAGAAACGAGAATTACTGGTGCCTGTTAAATCTAAAATACACAGAAATTACATGGTTTAGTTTCATTTTTTGCTCCAGGCTAAGCATATCCAGCTCTAATCTAGACTAGGTATGAGGGAGCCGGTTCAAATCCAAGAGAAAGTATAGTTTTGTGCGTTCTCTTCTTATTGTGATACCTGCATGTTACCTGTGGAGATAGGAGGGACTAGGGTAAGGACGGACTGCCTCGACCCTCCAACTCCAAGATAATGACACAGAGACTTTATTTATGAAAGCCTAGGCCTTATAGCTTATATAAATTAATCCCATCTATATTCATCTATGTTTATCACATGGCTGGTCACCTCTCCCCAGCCTCGTACATCCGAGTTCCAAGTCTGGCTGGCAGATCTCTCACCTCTCAATTCTTCTCAGAGTTCCCATCTCTGCCTGGATGTCCCGCCTTCCCTCTCCTGCCCTGCTATATATAAGCCATCAGCTGTTTATCAAAGCAATCAGAAGGTGATGGAGAAGAATGTTTATAAACTACAATGCAGGTGATGCTTCATAAAAATAAGAGTACCAAAGTCTGGACGGCACTCTGCACTCTGCGATACAGAAATCAACACTTGAATATTCAAAGACAACCTTTACAGTGCCCAAGATGATCCCAACACTAGGACAGTGCAGAGCAGAAAGCCATCTGTGATCTAAGCAAGGCTGAACAGTGACTTCATTTCCTGTATCTGAATTGGATCTGTACTTTTAAATCAACCATTCTAGAAATATGAGCCTTCCTTAACCTGCAGGAAAGAAGGGAGACTTGGGAGATGAGTGACAGAAGGAGATGCAGGGTATTGGGAGAAGTTTGTCCTTTAAGAAGGTTAAGATGGTGCAGAGAATGATTTGGACAGGCCAAGAACTGCCTGGAGGACACCCAGCTTTGTGGCAGGGGAGGGAGCGGAAAGTGCCCCAGTGAGAGGGGTGGAGGGGAGCTTGGAACACAGGAGGGCATCTGGGGAGCAGGGGAAGAAACTGAAATAAGTCCTTTCACTTTTTTTTGATACTAGGTTTTTGGTTTGTTTCTTTGTTTTTGATAAACTTAAATTTGCCTTTGAGGCAAGAGCTTTTCCACTGAGGCAGGTCTGTTTTGAGCAGGTCTCATTAAGTTTTGGCTGGCCTTGAAAGTTCTCAAGTCAAGGTAGGCCTTGAACTTGGAATCCTCTTCCCTCAGCCTCTCAAGTGGCTGAGATCACAGGCCTGAGCAACTAGACCTGGTTTGACTGAACATTCTGATATCATTGGGAAAGTATTCAGAACAAGTTACTTGATGGTAAGCCTTAATTAATGTTGCGTTGATGTAGTAACGTGGGAAACAGTGCATTCATAGCATTCCATTGTCTCACTTCATTAACTGTGGCTAGAGCTTGCCACATTATTTTTTTAAGTTATAAACAGTATTTGTGAAGATTCTTTTCAGTCTTTGGTCACATTCACTAGCTGGTACTTCTTTAGGGTACTTATTTGACACTGAAATTACTGAATTTAGGTAAAAGAACGAAACTTGCCAATTTGCTCTTTCTAGCATTATATGCAAGAGGCAACACCCTTGTCCGCACTCTAAATTACATACTTCCTTTTCATCATTTTAAAATTCACCATTCAGTAGTTGAAAGTGATACATCATTGCTTAAACTACTTTTTCTTACTAATTCATGTTTTAAAAATACATTGAGAGGGCCTGGAGAGATGACTCAGAGGTTAAGAGCACTGACTGTTCTTCCAAAAGTCCTGAGTTCAATTCCCAGCAACCACGTGGTGGTTCACAACCGTCTGTAATGGAATCCAATGCCCTCTTCTGGTGTGTCTGAAGATAGTGTACTCATATAAAATGAATAAATAAATCTTTTTTAAAAAAAAAAACAATACATTGAGAATGTTAATCTTTTGTTTGTCTTTCATTTCTTACAGATAAGTTTATGCTTCTTTCCTTTGTTTGCTGTTTTTGATGCTAGAAGAATTTCTTTGTGACTCTGTCCTTTCTCCCCAGTACTGAGATCAGACCTAGGGCCTCACACATGCTATGTAAACATGCTTCCATGCTAAACCCTCAGGTTTTGTCTTTGTTTTTTAATATATATTTGTTTATTTTATATATATGAGTGCTCTATCTGCATGTACACCTGCGTGCCAGAAGGCATATCACATAGATGGTTGTGAGCCACTACGTGTTACTGGGAATTGAACTTAGGACCTTTGGAAGAGCAGCCAGTGGTCTTAACTGCTAAGCCATCTCTCCAGCCCCCACCCCCAGTTTTAAAGGCTTTTCAGTTTCTCCTCTTGCCCAGGACAACTAGATCTCTTCCTCAAGCAGTTGACTAACTTCTGTAGCACTGGGTAGCCAATCTGCCTGTTCTCTTCTTGGTTCATTACATCTATAGACCCTTAGGCCCTTAGTATATAGTGAATCCTTGTATGTTAGAGTATGTAGTGCAGTTTTGAGCCTTTATTGTGGTTTGCTTTTTTTGGGGGTGGGGTGAGGGAGGGGTGGAGACAGGTTCTCTTTGTAACCTTAACTGTCCACCTCCTGAGTGCTGGCACTAAAGGCATGCATCACCACTGCCCAGCCTTGTCATTTGCTTTTTAAAAAATTAATATTATAGCTGAGCATGGTGGTACATACCTTTAATCCCAGGACTTGGGAAGGAAAGGAAGCTGGACCTCTGTGAGTTCCAGGCCAGTCTGCTCTACAAAGTGAGTTCCAGGACAGCCACGGCTACATAGAGAAACCCTGTCAGGAAAAAACAAAAGAGAAAAAAAAATTATTCTTATCTGTATGAATGTTTTGCCTGCATTTATTTCTGTGTACCATATATGCACCCCTGGTATTCCTGTATGCCAGGAGAAGGTATTGGAGTTACCTGGTTGTAGGATGCTGGGAACTGGATCTGGGGAGCTCAGTTTTCTAAGTCTCTTATGTGGTATTTTTATTTTAGGGGGAGGTACATGTTGCCTGTATGATAGAGAGTGAAGATGACGGTGGAAAGCCATTTTAGGGTACAAAGGTTGAATCGCCATTCTGATAGGGCTTGCAGACCTTGTCAGTCATTCTGCACTTGCTGAGTCTTGAGGAGGGAGCACGTCAATGAGGACCATCTATGGTTGGGTTATTTCCCCTGCAAGCCCCGCCTGTCCCAGGTGCCACCTTACTTGCTTGGAGGCAACAAGGAGAGTGACCAGGCTCTGGTCAGAATCTGACAGCTTCATATATTTAAGGTGTCATTGTTTATACTGGGTCCACACAAGGTAGGAGTTTTTGATCAACTGTTGTATAGAATGGGTTAACCCTAAAGACCATCCTTAACTCAGGATGGAGACCTGGCTGCTAAGTCCTCATTCATTTGTGAATAGTTGAATCGTATCCTAGAATTACAGAAAACCCTGTGGAATGGTAGAGGGAAGAGCGGTTGGCAGTTCAGAGGCATTTTTCTATACCATCAGGCAGACTTGGACCATTTTAATACTGAGATGGGAATTGAAGGCATCAGGCATTGGATAGGATTGACACTTGCCATTTCAGACCTAGCTAGGCGTCCGGCCTTAAGATCTACATGGTTAGTTGCTTCCAGAGTCGGTACCCAGAAGTCATTTCTGAATCAACAGTGGACAGTGGGGAGTACTTGTCCTGTTAGCACATGATGCCCCCTGCCCTGCCTGTGTTTCTTGACAGGAATTTTTTCCCCCTTGATCAGGAGTAGCCATTGCTGAGGCTAGACCTCTAGATTTTTCAACTGGCAGCCAGATCTGGGTACCTGCTGGCTAAGCAGCTTCCCGGATGTGGAGCCTTGGCAATGTGGTTTGGAATCTCAGTCAGCTGTAGTCAGGTGTTGGCAGCCGTGCCGCTACTTCAGGTCAGCAGCTGGGGAGCTTGCAGGAGCGAGCTCTGCCAGCATCTGTAGCCCAGGGGTCACTGAGTGGGGTGGGAGCGTGTGGGCAGGTGTTATGAATCAAGGGACACCTGTGGCTGGCAAGCTGAGGCAGGCAATAAATAAATAGCCTGTTAAGAGGCTGCAGGGTACGGAAACCTGTGGGTGTCGGTGGGTACTTTGAAGGCAAGCAAGACTGTAGGTTCCTCAGCGTGTTGGTAAATCAGAGTTGGAGCTGGAGGCAGAGCTGGGCGCAGCTGCTGGGGAGCTTGGGTGAGGGCAACAGGAGAGGGCTCACCTAGGCATGCTTCATGGCAGGATGCTTGGCTCGCCCCAAGCACTAGGTCACACACGTGTGTTCTTTTATGTTTAAAGAAACAAAACCCTCTTTAATTCAGGGTTTCTAGAAACATATTTTCATGTTGTGCCAGCCCAGTTTCTGGTTTTTTCCCAAGACCATTATTACAGTCTTCACCTACCTTTGTTCGGTGCCAGGCCCTGCTTTATCAGTGAGCTCCTTGGCAGTGGACTATGTCTAAGGCCCTGTCTGGCACCCGAGTTTTGTCTGGCATAGCGCATATGTGTATTAATTGGGCTGGCGATCCGAGGTGACACTAGAAGAGATGAAGATTTGCAGAGAAAGTCCCTTTGGGTTGCAGAGTTGGGCGAGACTGATTTTGCTGTCGTGGAACAGGACAGGATGTGCCCTCTCTATGGAAGGTGGTGGCTTCCTGAAAGTAGGAAAGAGAAAAGGAAGGGCAAGTGGCCTTGGAATTTGGGCCCCAGAGCAGACAGAGGCAGATAGATGATATGTTTAGCAAGTGGATGGGTGTGTGTACATGTGACAGGGCTGGTCTCCTGGAAGCGGAGGGCTGTTGAAAGTCAGTTTTAGTTTGTATGTACCTGTGAAGGCCTGCATACCTATATGTGTGTGCACTATGTACTTGCCTGGTGTCTTCAGAGGCTACAAGAGGGCATGAGATCCCTAGGAACTGGGGAGGTTACAGGCAGCTGTGATTGCCCTGTGGGTGCTGCTCCCACTCACCCACCTCTTTCCATGCCTCCCATCCAAGGGTTCCGAAGATGCCCATACAGCGCCCCCGCCTGGGACTGTTTACACATGAACCTGTGAAAGGTGTTTCCCATTTAT